GTCTGCGCGACCAGATTCAAACATTGCATTACACCACTCTTACAGGGTGGGGGGTCCACCTAAGATATGGTAATTCAGTGTAAGTTTCCCAAGAGCAAGTCTGTCTTTTGCTCGCGTCAAGGTGCCAAGTATGCCCTGATGTGTGGCGTACAGGGCCTAACTGATCTGGAGGCTCCGATACCCAAGTGCGCCCCTCAAGAGGTTGAGGGTCTAAACCCCAAACCCTAAAGAGCACAAGCCACTTTGTGAGGAAAGTAGTCAGACGTGGGGGGGTTAGGGTTGAGGGATTTGGGTTATTTTGGCACTTCAGGCGTTGAAAACTCCTTGGGACTTAGCTTGGACCTTAGACCCTTAACCCTTTGGGATTCCATTATCTTCCTATTGTAGGTACCGGTCCTAAGTGCCACGTAGAAAAGAGTTAGCTTCAAGAAGATATGTCTGAGGGCAAGAGCCAATATTAAGGCAGTTGGCTGTAGCAGGGCCCCTGGTAATGGCTTAGAGTTTAGGGTCTAGGGTTTATAGGGTCCAGGGTCTGGGGTTTAGGGTTTAGGGTAATCCCCCGCCAAGCACCCTAAACCCTAAAGTAGTTTCCTTTTCATGTTCCATTTTGTTTGTCCGTTAATTTGAATCACTGCTCTTGAGCCCGACAACATCCATGTATACTCTATTTAGCCCTTATGTAAGTTGGTCTGCGTGTAAATTTCCATGTTCCTTTCCACTTGGTTCTCCATTTTTAGAGGTTCTGTCCCTAAACCCGAATCCGTAGATCCTAAACCCTAAAGCACTAGAGCCTAGAAAGCTTCCGAGCACTAAATGTTGCATCCCTGCATAGCACAGTCCCTAGGGCTACGATTATGGGGTCTATCGGGTGTCGGGCTTAGGGGTGAGGGTTTCAGGTTACGTTAAAAGCGAACCTTAAACAGACCAGCGTAAACCCTCGAGCCGAAGCGGGAGGTACGCCTCCAATGCCCTCCTTCGCTGGCGTGGCGCCTGCCATGCGCTGTGTGGCGAAGTCTTCGCTTCTTTGGTCGATCCCCTGAAGCAGGTGCCTGGCGGGAATGGGGTGCGGTGCATGGTATACGTCCTGCATGACCTATTCCTTGGGAATGGCGGTGTATTTCTATCCAAAATCATGCACGTATTTTGGAAATCATCAACAGTATGGCCTGTATCCTGGTAGTAGGAGTGGAGCAGCGGAAAGACAGTGGAAACTACTAGGGCAGGCCCTACGGGTTTTGGTATGTGGATAGTCTAAGGATGATAATTACAGGAATCCCGTCCGGAGGGGGGAGAGGCTTCGGCAACCCTAGTATTTTCGGATAATATATACGGGATCCCCGTTTCGGAAACTTCCATTTGGATTGCTTAGGCGTTTTTGGACATGCTCTGTGTGCGTGGCATCTGGGTTCGTACAGTAAGGGATTGTCATGCGCACGCTGAGCTTTATAGTAAGCATTGCCAGGGATTGCTCAAGGCACTGTTTACAGCGGCCATGGCTTCAACCTTTGGGCTTCATTAGGTGCAGGGACCTACTGCATCGTAGGATTTTTGTCGTTTGTCCTTGTCTCCAGGAAGTTTGGCGCCCGCTCTCTCCCCTAAACCCTAAACCCTGACAAATCCTAGCCTTGCTACTGCTTGCCAGGAGAAGGAAAGCCTGACAAAGCTGAGGCGCAGTGGGTCATGTAGACATTATCCATCAATCAGCTTACTGGCTTTTAGTAGGGTTTAGGGTTTAGGATTCTATAGGACTTCTATAGGGAGTATATTCCCTTATTCCCTACGAAGAACAAGTAAGTTGGTGATGCAGATAGGTTTAGGGTTTAGGTCAGGTCATTCCCCCACCCACTGATGGTGGCATAGTAGGACGATAGTAGAGACCCTAATGCTGCCCCAATACCGTTGCTATTGTTCCTTGTGGGCCTTGTTTGTCTAGGGAGGAGAATGCCTACAGTCTAGGGATGTAAGGTTTGGGTTTAGAATTTGGGGCTTAGTATGTGGTTGGCACAGCATATGGGAACTTGACTTTCTTCCAGTGGAATGATGGGATTTGTTACCCCGGTCCCCCAACCCCAAAGGAAAGACACTGTGATTGGCACGTCACGCCTGTAGGGTGCTTATTATAGCAGTTTGGAGGGTCCCAATCCCCTTTTTAGGAAGGAGGGGCTGGGATTTTGGCACAGACCCTCTAGTTATTCATTTGTATACGTTTGGAGACTTGCAATGCAGCGCAAAAAGCCTTCAACATCCGCTGAAGAAGGCGTCTTATTCTGTTTGGTACATTCAGAAGTGTATAGTATGGCATGATTCAAGGTGCGCAGTTGTGGGCACAGCGGGCATGTCAGCACAGGGTCCCATAGACTGCGAACGATGGATGGAATCCTGGAGCACCTAGGTTTGCCGAAATCAACGGAACTCATCCATCTTTCCAGGGATTCAACTATACGAACAAAACTTGCCGGGAGGCCCCAAAGACCTCAAATATTACCTACATTGGCCTGTTTGGATCCTAGGGTTTGGGTATGTCTTGAGGCTTGATTCCTTCCTCAACGACAGGAGAGCCCATCATTTGCGCAGGTTCAACTCCACAGTCTGGGAAGTCTTTGTATGGTGAGTTGGCAATCGCTTTCTCCCAAGAGATCCAAATAGCCCAATGGAGGCAATGTATACAGACTTTAGGGCCCAATGTAGATATTATTCGTATACTTGGATCCCTACTTGGAGGCCCGTGGGATTTAGTAACCACTTATAACTGGGCTTATAACCCTATTTATAATCCCCCTAAATGGGAATATAGGGGTTACCCCAATTATAAGTGGGGTTATAATCCCAGTTTTAAGTGGTTACTAAGCCCCATGGGCCTCCAAGTAGAGTATGTCTTGCCATTCCTAGCCTGTCAAGTGCCCTTGGTGGCCAGGCGAATGTCCGTGGCGCAGTTCGAGCGTTGCTGCGAGTACGCGATTGTCACGGGCAATCACGCAACACGCCACAGATTCAAAGCTTGCGGACTAATCGTCCCTAATAGTAAAACACTCCATTCAGTCTTTACAAGCTCTGAAATTTAGGGAAATTTGTGATTAGGGGGCAGCAGGGGTTAAAACTGCGGGGAGTGGGCTATTGCTACGTACCAGCTTTGTGAGGAGGTCTCTTATCCTGAACACCAGCATGATCAAGCTCCTTGATGGTGACGCTCATGATACTCTTGCAGTAGTCGACTTAAGACCCTATTGTAGTATTTGGTCCCTAAAGCCCTTTTATTTGAGGTCCTATCTATCCCTATATAGTGCCCTGTACATCCATATATATATATATCCCCCTATAACCCTTTTAAAGGGACCCTATTATTTGGGTCCTTGGACCCTTCAGGGAGAGGCAGTTCCAAGCTGGTTCAAGCGGCGTATTAGCACGGTCCTGCGACACCGGTTTCAATGTCTGTTTCATGTCATTGTGGGCATCTATAGCATAGTATAGCACAATATAGTCCAATATAGTATAATATAGTATAGTATAATATAGTACAATTTCTCAAATTTTATGTTCTATTTGATTCTCCATTACTCAAACCCCTACATCGTTTGTATCCCTAGATATGTATATACACACATACTCTACTGTTCTTACTGACCCCGCCCGTTAAGAAGCGTCATGTTTTGAAGAGTGCGGCGCAATTTTGCGCTGTCGGTGTGCAAGGAACTGGCAAGCTTCGGTGCCAGCGCAATGTGGCACCTTGGCTTAGCGTGAAAGCATGCAAACATATATACATATACATGAATGAATGGTTCTCATTCTGTAGGTATATGATATTCAATTCATGCATGTATATATGCTACTACAGACCTGAGCTCTTGTATTTTGTTTGGTGTACCCCCGATGTCAGGAATGTGTCGATGCCCCTGATGCACTCTGGCGAGACGCGGCAGATGCACCGCGCCTGCACCAAGCGATGCAATCCGTTCTTTGCAATGGGAGACTCCTACCTGAACCCCCGAAAGTATGTAGGATAATGGCCCTTTGGGCTATGCTTCTGAGTTTTTGGCCATTATTTTGCCTGCTTTGGGGTTTATGTAAACCCTAAACCTTAATTAAGCTCATAGGCCCCGAACCCTTAACCCTCAACCCTAGAGCCCAAAAACAGAAGGGAAAGCCAAAGCAATCTCCCGAGCTTAGAAGACGACCTAGTCTCAGGAAAGAGCTCTCACTCACGACCCCACGCCGTTGAAAACCCTAGGTAATCCAAAGGGATGCCAATATCCCAATGTAGGTAATGTTGACAGTCTTTGGGGCCCAATGTAGGTATTATTTGCATACTTGGATCCCTAGGGAAGTTGTACCGATGGGACGAGGTTTACGCTGAATCTATCCACACCTGCGCGCTGCCCGAAGGAGCAATACCCATGCAGGCACAGCACCAATGCATGCAGGGCGCCCACATATCGTAGGCGAGAGAAACTTGAAAAAGACAACGACACTTCCTGAAGTCCTTCCGCCTAAGGCAGCCCAAGAAACAGGATCCCTTGTAATCCCTCCATGCTTTGCAGAGAGCCCCGGAAAATCACTTGGCATCCATTTGAGCGTCATTTGAAGGTCCCGCGCATAAGCCCCGCATGTTCCCTAAATCAGATTGGGCGTTTCCCTGCAATTTAGAGGTCTCTTTTTCGTGGGCCTCCCACTATTACCATTATAGTATGTTGGGGCTTACATTGGGGTTTTTCATGCACAGAATCCACTGAAACTGCAACTCAATTTATCCTTGAGGCTCGTGGAGCCGTACTTGAAGGCCACGCGTGCTCTTGGCGCCAGGGCCTGAAAGGGACCGTGATGCACACAGTGATGTGGGAGTTTCTCAAAATGGGTAATCTTCATAAATAATGCGAACCCCAATATGGACCTGATATGCTATGGTCCTTATTGTGGAGACCTCCGAATAAAGGACCTGGAAAGCGCCAAATTGGGATACCAGTGCCCTATACATATTTCCCTAGCGCCTCTAGGGTACCCCAATTTGAGAAATTCTCATGTCCCAATCATTGCTGTTGCGCTGCTGGCTGTTACTAGTACTGCTACCCGCACTACGACTCCAGTTATTCCACTCCTGCAAACACCGGAATTGGCCATGACTGTTTTGTATGCCTTGTTGCTACTACCAGTTCTGGACTCCTACACTTTGCAAGGAAGTGAAGTTCAACGAAGATCCTTACTTTTTTGCTGCCCTTTACGCGGCTCTATATGAAGCTTGGTCTGCAGTCGATCACCAATTTTCCCGGGGTTTTCTGGAACCTTTGGAGCTACTGGGCGATGACTACATCTTCCCGTAAAGCTCGTCCTTAGATGCAGCAAAACAGTTAGCTTGCCATTGTAGGGACACCCCCCCCTTCAACAGAGCTGCAAGATTGAGAGAGGACTGTTACGCAGACCAGCAGCAGTGGGACAAGATCCACGACATGCTGAGGGATGCCTTTATGGCAGTTCCCAGCTCCAGCCACCGTCGGCTGTGGGCTTTGAGGATGCTGGCGCTGAGCCATCAGGGTAAGAATGTGACAGTTGCCATGGGTAAGATGAAGGCAGGGCAGAGGGTTTTTAGGGTTTGGGGGCTACTGTTTTCATGAGTTGATATTGGCTTGTGGTTTCAGTGCTTGGGAGGGCAGAAGGGCTGTAGCTTGCAGAATCTTGGTGGATGGGGGTTGGGGTGACTTTGCCCCAGGAAAGCCAGGCAAAGGCCCAGGCCAACATTTGGCTGGTCTTGGTCTCTGCCAGCTCGCAGCCCAAAGATCAGATCAATGCCTTCACCAAGGCCATCAATGTCCTGCAGGCTGCCATGCAACCTGAGGTGGTTGAGGTTCGTATGCAGTTCGCTGACTGGCTGCTACGGAATGGCTTCTCACTGTCGGACGCCTTGGAGCAACTGGCAGCGGCAGCGGACCTCCTGCTGGATATAGAGGAGGGCTCTGAGGATGAAGATGCTGGGTTGCTGTTAATGAACTTAACTTAAGTTACCATAATGGGTATATATATATATAGTAAATAATAAGGCTTCCCCAATATAGTAACTTAACTTAAGTTCCGTAACAGCAACCCAGGATGAGGAAGAGGGCGGTGGTGACGATGGCTTCTACGGCGCAGCCCATGGAGATGGGGGCGGTGGGGATGGCAGTGATGATGGCAGCTCCGTTGCCCCCTCGGACTGGGACAAGAGCGAGTCCAAGTTTGGGAGCAAGAAAGGAAGCTCAAAGGCCAGGAGCAATTTAGATATCCCCATATAACCCCTACATAACCCTAAGCCCTAAACCCTATATTAACCCCTAAACCCTATATAAGCCCTAAACCCCTAAACCCTAAACCCCTAAGCTGAAAGGCCGGAAGTCGAATCGGCAGCAGCAGAGCTGGGAGTCAAGCTGGCAAGTCGGCTCATGGCAGCAAAGCCGGCAGCCGTGCTGGGAGCCAGGCCAGCAGAATGTCCAGGAAAAAGAAGAAGAAGGGAAGCGCAACTGGGAAGGAACTTAAATTAAGTTGGTTTAGGGTTTAGGGTTTAGGGTTAGGGTACCCCAGAGGGTCCATGTACCCAATGATTAGGTCCTTGGGGTTTGGGTAATAGTAATTCTAGTGCAGGTTTAAAGGTAAGTAAATTGAAGTACACTAAGTTACCATATGGGCAGTTCCCAAAATTAGGGTCCCATTTTGGTACCCCTAACTGTTAGGTGCGGTAATATAACCTATAACCAAAAGGGACCCATAATTTTGAGAACAACCCATATGAGTATACATAGTGATTACTACGGTTCCCCCGTAATAGTAACTTGAATTTAGTTCCTTAGCAGCAACCCAGGCAAGTAGGAGCTGCGCTGGGAAGAGTGCCATGGCTCCCTCCAGGATGGGCAACACTAAGCCCTAAACCCTAAACCTTAAACCCTAAACCCTCTAAACCTTAAACCCTAAACCCTTAAACCCTAAACTTTTCAACCCTAAACCTTAAACCCTAAACCCTTAAACCCTGAACTTTCAAACCCTAAACCTTAAACCCTTAAACCCTAAACCTGAAACCCTAAACCATCCTAAACGCTAAACCTTAAACCCTAAACCCTGAGCCCTAAGCCCTAAATTCCCTCCAGGATGGGCAAGAGCAAGGCTGGCTCTCGTGCCGGCTCCCGGGCAGGCTCACGCGCGGGCTCGCGCGCGGGATCCCGTGCAGGCTCGCGTGCAGGCTCCAGGGCCTCGAGGTCCTCCAAGCGGAGTGCCAGTGTAGCCGCAAAGTCTAGGAAGCAGCAGAAGCAAGAAGAGGATGACGAGTTGGAGGCGGAGCTCTTTGCTCACAACTTCGAGGCGCTTTGCCGCCTACAGAGCATGAAGGCTCAGCTCACGTGCGGAAATGAAGTTCATACCGCTCTTCAAGCCGCGTCACACTTCGCCATGCGCTTCTTCGAGTCCTCAATCGAGCCACCTGCCTGCAACGCGTTGAAGGTGTACTACTGGCTGGAAATGAGGAGTAAGAAGCGCCATGAATGGGTCGCCCAAATGCTGTCTGAGTTGTGTAGTGTACTTGCCCTCGGTTCTCAGCTGAGTTCAGCAAAGGTTGGCCAACACCTGGGCGCAGGAGCTTCATAACAAGAAGCAGAAGGACTCGCCAGGGCTTAGGTTTTAGGATCTAGGTCAGCAAAGAAACAGACATCGCCAAGAAGATCATTATCCTTGAGCTATGGCTACGTATGCGAGTGGTTAATCCTCTATAATCCTATATGAGCCATAGTCTAACCTCCTTAAAGGGGGTCTATAGGGGGTTATATATTGGATTACTATAGGGGTTACTAAGGGGGATACTAGGAGTTTAGACTATAGGTCATATAGCCCGTATATAACCCGTATATAAGATCATTCCAACCAACCCAGGCTTCCTAGCTTCGACATTCCTTCATACTGTTCATGATCCTGCATGACCCTGCGAGTGCCACAATTTCCTAGTGTTTATGAGTCGAGTCTAAGAATAGTAATAGCAACGATGCTGAATATGGCAATAGTAGTACATAGATTTGGTGCATCTTCGCAGGAAGGTGATGAGGCAGCTGATGCCACGAAGATTGGAAAGAAGGAGCCCCCCAAAAACTGTATGCGAGATAGGGTTTAGGATTTAGAGGAGTACTTGGAAGGATGTGTTGAGATGTTGAATATGTCAAGAAGATGCGAGGGTCACATGTCGAGACTATCAAAGCGAGATTCAGGTACAGGCATTTGGTAGTTTGCCAGAACAGGGGGACCCCAATATAGACCCCAAAATATTGTAATCCTTCTTATAAGGACCTGTGAAAAGCACACCTAAGTTTGTGAAACTCTCATTTCTGCTGTAAGCTATTGAGGACGGCTTGGTTGGTGGATCCCTTTTTCAAGGGTACCTTAGCAAGTCAGGGCGATCCATTTCAACATACACCTCAGTCTCCAGCTCTTCATATGACCTTAAGTGAGGCTACATATTACATAGCGGATTATATAGGGGACCTTTATTTGGGTCATTAAGGGGGATACGAGGAGGGGGGATACTAGGAGTTTAGACTATAGCTCATATGTGGGTGCTCTGGTTGAAGCAAGTGAATGGTTTCTGTTCCTGCCTGCCAGGAAGAGAAGGAGATCCTTCATTTGGCACCATGCTTTTCGCTGCCCGTGCGTCTTGCTGACTCTCAGTTGCTGTTAAGGAACTTAGATTAAGTTACTAATGAGGAAAGCCTCTTATATATCGTATACATATATGTGTATATAAACATACACCTATTATGATGACTTATCCAAAGTTCCTTAACAGAAGCCCAGGATTGGGCCTATGCGGAGAGGTGGCCATGGCGAGAAAATGCAACTGCCGCAGCCAGGTTGCTATTAGGAACCTAGGTTACCTTGCCATTGTAAACCGTACCCTTTACCATATATGAGCTGTAGTCTAAAGCCCTGAAAGCGAGGGATATAGAGGACTCTATAGGGGACCACGATAGGGCATAGTAAGGGGGATGTTAGGAGTTTAGACTAATATATAGCTCATATATCATCCATACATCCTATATCCATGTAATGGCAATGCACTAGAAGTTGCTTAATGTAACCCAGGTAGAGGCAGGGCCATCTATCCTTGCAGAAGTCTACAAGCGCGCTGAGCTGGGGGGCCTGGTGTGGAGCAGTACATGCACCTGGGTGGGGCATGCGGATGCATTCTCCAGGCCACAGGTCAGCTTCTTCTCCTTGTTACTTGGCTGCTGTTTAGGAACTCAAGTTAACTCAAGGAGGCCCCAGTCAGTTGCCGTACTAATGTATTACGTAACCATATCGAAGCTCCTTAAATCCCTCTATAACCCCCAGCTTCAATTTTCCATGTGATTCTCCTGTATGGCAACCCCTACACCCTAAACTCCTAAACTCTTACTACCCATACTTTTGGGGGAGCTAAGGAGCTAGGGATAGTCTATATCAATATAATAAGGGGAGCTAAAGAGCCCAGGAATTTCCAAAACCATAGGGGAGCTTAGTTCGAGTTTCTTAGCACCAACCCAGGTTATCTTTAGAGGATGACTTGGAGGAGCACGGCTACCACCTCTTGGCCTTACCGCTTTTGGCCTTACACTGCCAGCTGGCAAATTGCTTTGAGAGCCCGGCGCCCTTGCTGTTTGATTAGCAGGGAAGGAAGGAGCGGAACAACATGAATTTCAAAAACAAAGGGAAACTACCATGTCGGGTTGAGGCGTTTGGAGTTCAAGGTTGGGGGTATGAAGGAAACCCTAAACCCTAAACCAACTTGTTTAGAATTGTCATTGCATAGGAGCCACTACAGGCATCCCGTCCTACATCCTCCATTCCTTCCCTGCGAACCCCTACACCATATATATATATATAGACATATATATGTACTCTACACATCGGTACATAACCATATGCGTGTGCATATATATATATATATACACCTATCTATCTATCTACCTATCCATCTATCCATCTATCTATCTATCTAACTATCTATCTACAGCTCCCCGTGTATGTCCCTCTACCCCCATATATCCCTATTTATCCCCACATCTCCCCTACCTCCTCAGGCCGCCTAAACCCTAAACCTTGAAACCTACACCCTAAATCCCAAACCTTAAACCCTAAAACCTAAATTCCAAACCCTAAACCCTAAATCCCAAACCCTAAATCCTAAATCCCAAGCCGTAAAACCTAGAACTTGCCATATTGTGTACTTTGGGGATACTTTAGGTGGACCCCCTCACCCAGTAATAGTGACTATAAGGGATAATAGGCCCAAACCCCCAGTAAGGTGAAGGAGGCCGTGGCCTGTACCGCGAAATTGCGCTTAGCACGCTTCACCTCGGAGTGTCGCCTCCGGGAGGCCTCGAAAGCCTTACAGGCCGAGGCAGAGAAAGCCTTGCAGGACCCAGGGTGGGGGTTAGGTTTGGGGTTGAGGATTTCGGGATTAGGGTTTAGGGATTCAGGGGTTAGGGTTTAGGGATGTAGGGATTAGGGTTTAGGGATTTAGGGGTTAGGGTTTGGGGATGTAGGGATTAGGGTTTAGTGATTAGGATCTGGAGATTAGGTTTTTGGGATTATGGGATTAAGGATTAGGGTTTAGGGGTTAGGGCTCGCAGTTGAGAGATTAGGGTTTCGGGCTTTGGTTTTGGGGATCTAAGGGACGAGGGTGTAGGGCTAGTATTTGATATCGGATATCATCATAAGGACCAGTACGTACAGGTAGTCAGGTTCTTATTGTTATCGCCATTCCTGATAGGAGTGCAAGATAGGGAAAATCAAAGTTGTAGCCAATAGTGAATCAAATGGAATGCCAACATATAAATGAAAAGGACACTGCCGTTATATACTGGTTTGTGTAACTTCAGGGCTAGGTAGGGCAAACTCAAGTTCAGGCCAGGAATAGCCCATAGTCCAGTATGCTCATTTAATACTACAGTCGCATGTCAGAATACATGCCTGATTAGCCCCTAAACCCTGAATGACTGGATCATCCCAGTGTCCATGTACGATTCTCCACCACAACCCTTCATTCCCCTACATGCCTCTTTATACCCCGACATACATCCGCAGGCCCTAACCCTACATACCCTTTTTCCCCTGCATACCCCTATATACATCCAAAACCCTAAAGCCGTGTGGATACCCTTACCTGGTCGAGGACCTGCCAGAGACCTTTGGGAGCTTCAAGGACCCCCGAGGTATGGGAATATATGAGCTATAGTCTAAACTCCTTAAAAGGGGATTATGTAGGGATTATATAGGGTACCATTATAGTAGGGGTTCTTTAGGGGGATGCTAGAAGTTTAGATTATAACTCATGTTATATAGGGATCATACAGGGACTATATTCCCTTATTCCCTACCCTATTCCCTAAACCCTTTGTATACATATTTATTCCCCTATTCTCTACTAACCCTAAACCCTCTAAACCCTAAACCACCTAAACCCTAAAAAAACCCTTGAACACCCTGAACCCTGAGCCCCCTAAACCCTAAACCCTATATATATATACATATCTATATGTTCACATGTTCCCGATTTCCCTCGTATTCCCTAGGAAGCCCCCGTAATAGGAGGAACTGGAGCAGATCCGTAGTCAGCGGGCCGGGAGCGGAGCAAACACCCCCGACCCGCCCTGGCTGAAGGTGTGGATTTCTAAACTAAGGGTTTAGGGTGGAGGGTTTAGGTTTGAGGGTTAAGGGTTTAGGGTTCAGGGTTCAGGGTTTAAGTTAGAGTTTAGGGTTTAGGGTTCAGGGTTTAGGGATACTGGGTTGGCCTTTGGGATGCTTTGATGTTTTCTTTCATTGGTTTCATAAGGACCCTAGAAACAATATCTTCCAAAGGGATCCAAAAACTAAGGATATATACAGGGGTATATAGCGCTATAGCGGCAAGGGTTTGCCAAATAATCAGGGGTCCTCCTTGGGGTGCCCAAAATAAGGACTATAGGCCCTAAACTTTAAACCCGAAATCCCCTCAACCATGAACCCTGAACCCTAAAAACTACTAAACCCTAAACCCTAATTTGTGGAAGTCCAGGTGCAGCTTCCCAGCAAAACCGAGCGACGGGTAGCTAGTCCCTGGACCATTGGCCAACTCTACGCCTACCAGGTGGGCCAGAAAACCCTAAAGGGGTCGTGAGTTTAGGGTTTGTGGGTTTGGGGTGTATGGGTTTCGTAGGGCTTAGGGTCTGCAACCCCAAAGCCCGGAAACCATAACTACTGCGACCCGACAACCGCAGACCCTGAAGCTACCAGGGCCTTCCTCATGTTAAGAAACTACCAGGCCCCTGCATTACACGATCCCTCTAAACCCCTTTATAGACCCAATTGAGTAGTATTTTATTTGGGGGTATCATATTCTTTAATTTATGTAGAGCAAGAATGTATCCTTTGCGGGGTATGGTAAATTTTATGTACAGCATATAATCTTGATTGGTTCAACCATCAAAAAACGCTGCTCAATGTTCAGATGTCGTCTTTTCCTTTCATTCTGCGTTACAACCCCGACGCCTAACCCCTAATCCTCCGTCCAAAACCGCAAAGCCTAAATAGTAGTTTTCATGTTCTATTCCATCACCCTTTTTACACGGCCTATATAAGCCCTACATAACCCCTAAACCCTAAACCCTAACCCTTTTATAGCCCCTATAAAAACCCTGATATCCCCCTTGTCTAGGCCCCTACTTTACAGCCAGGTCTGGGCTGAGTTGGGCAAGGAGTGTCTACATCACGCAGAACTCTGGATGGCCTGCACCCTCACCAGCGACTTCACAGTTTAGGGTTTGAGGGTCTCGGGTTTCGGGGTTCAGGGGTTCAGGGCTTTAGGGTTTAGGGTTCAGGGAGTGGGGGTTGAACTACATGGTGCTGGCTATAGGAATGCAGTTTCATGCCAATGCATTGACCATTAGGCGAAACAAGGCCCTAAACCCTCAACCCTAAAGCACTAAACCCTGGACATATGTGTATATATATATGTATATGTATATGGTTCCAGGGCAAAACCAACAGGAGTCATAGCCAGCCCTAATCCCTCAACCCAACTCAACCCTAAGCCTTAAGCCGTAACTCCTCAACCGAAAAAAAGTTTTGCGCAAAAAAAAACTCAGCCCCTGGGTGACGGTGACTCATGGGGGTTTGTAAGAATAGCACTACTAGTAATACTAGTTTAATAATAGTAATAACAGTAAAAATGGCAATACTAGCACTTCTACGAATACGAGTAATATTAGTTTTAACAGTAGTAACCCTTGTACTAGTAATAATGGTGATAATGTCTCTCCTAGGCGAAGCCGAGCACCATGCCAAAGTGCATGGCGATGGCAGAACACTCCGGGACCTGGCCGTCACACGGGCGCGCATCGCAATGATGCCTTGAAATTTTCAGAAGGAGATTTTAGGGTTGGGGTTTTAGTGTTTTAGGGTTTTAGGGTTAGGGGTTTAGAGTTTAGGATTTAGGCTTAGGCTGTAGCGAATTTCTGCAGTAGATTACGTTCATAGTCACAGTAAGCCGATCCTCATACTATGAAGATGATGGCTTGTTTATATCAAGGAAGATTTTACCTTCTCACAACTACATCTTGGGACATCCCGTATGACCAGAATTTGTTGAACTGGCACCTTTCACTTTGTAACTGTTCTCACACACTTTATAATAACCATGGTCCTTTTAATAAAGTGGCCACGCTCATTGTTTATTCCCTATGTAACGCTGTTTAACCCTAAGCCCCTAAACCCTAAACTCCTTGTATGTCCCTTTATGACCCTAATATAATCCTTGATAGTCTGGGTTGCTGTTAAGGAACTTAAATAAAGTTACCGTAATGGGTATATATAGTAAATAATAGGGTTTCCCCAATATAGTACCTTAAATTAAGTTCCTCAACAGCAACCCAGTAGTAGGTGAACTGAGGATGGAGGGCCAGCATGGAGAGGTCATCCGTGCACTTCATGAGCTGGAGGTAGGACCGGACAAGTCTGTGGTTTAGGGGCCATCCTTGCACGCAAAGCACCAGGCCTTGCTATGTGACCCCAAGGGTTTAGGGTTTAGGCCTTTAACCCCAAACTACACTTGTTGATAAGAAATTCCACAACTAAGGTGCTTAGCGTCGTGTGATAATATCAGCGTAAACCCTAAACCCTAAAACTCCACGCCTTGAAAACCTAGGCCCTAAAAATCCCAACCCAAAACATCCTAAACTCCCCAGACCTTACACCCTATAAACAACCCTAAATAATTCAACAACATCACTCTAAACCCTCAACCCTCTGCCCTGCGAGGCCGCCGACCTACGGCAGTGCGCGGAAGCCTCGGTGCTTTTGGCAGACGCCTACGATGCCCGCAAGGCGCTGTAGGGGCTGCGGGGGTGAGGGATATCCTGAAGCTACTCTGGGTTTAGGCTTTAGGGCTCAGAGGTTAGGGCTCAGGGTTTACGGTCTAGGGTTTAGGGTTTAGGGATTGGAGTTTAAGGTTCAGGGTTAAGGGGTATTACCCCCAAGAATGCAGAATGAAGTGGAAAAGAAATGGAAAATGAAATGGAAGGCGTTGCTATATAGGGATGCTATGAGCTATTGTCAGTATCAGGCTTACCGAGAAACCATTACGGGTGCACATAAGGGTCCCAGTCGTAGTTTAGTATAGTCCCCGATATATTCCATAACAAAGATCCATGTGCGTGACTTGTATGCGGAATGTAGACTAATTAGCCACATAGTCCTCACATGATCACCATACGCCACCTGTGCATTCCCTATATGATTTGTATTCTATACCCTGCTATGTCATCCCTATACAATTTTTGCCTAACCGCTATGCAGCCCCTGTATAATCACCATAATAAGATCCTTATGGAGACCCACATAATCCGTATCAAATCACTACACGACCCTTCAACAGGACCCGACATGTAGTGTAAGGTTTAGGGTTTGCTGCTGGGAGTTATGCAGTCTAGGGTTGAGGGGCTTAGGGTTGATGTGCAGCATCCCGCGGGTGAGGCTCAGGGGATCTAGCAAGTAGGTGATAAAGGGGATCAGAAGCAGGCCATCCCCAAATTATGGGACTTACCCCCTGAGCCTCGAAGTATCCCTCAGGGTCCAAGGACCTAAACAATAGGGCTTTAGAGCTGAAATGCCATGATATTCATGGTATTGGGTCCTTTGGACCCTTTATGAGGCGTACAACATGAAACCGGAAACCTGAGCCCTGGGGCCAGCTTCGAGGAATAGGAAGCTTTTAGTTACGCAGTGCAAAGTCCATGGATGACAAGAACCTACCTACAGGGCTTAAGGTTTAGGGTTTAGGGCCTACCTTGAAGTCCCTGACTGTAATGAGAATCACCTTGTGTCTCCTAGCCCTGTAATTCCCTTCTCCTTGAGCACGACCCCGAGGTTCACCCCAAAAACCCCCAATATGGACCCAAATATACTTAGCATCCTTATCACGGCGACCTAAACCCAAAAAATTAAAACATCCTAAAACCCTAAACCGTAAAACCCTAAACCTTAAACCCTAAACTCCCCCTTCAAAAGGGGATTCCCTCCTTTGGAAAGCTCGCAGCTAGTAAAGTTTCGACTCTGAACTCGGCAGCCTCTGGACCTCCAACTCTCAACTCCAGACTGAAGACTCCAACCCTAGGTTTAGGGTTTGGGGTTTGGGGTTAGGGCTTGAGGGGTTTTAAAGTTTAGGGTTTAGGGGTTTAGGGTCTAGGGGTTTGGTGTTTAGAGTTTAGAGTTTTACGGTTTTAGGGTTTAGGGGGTTCAAAGTCCTAAGCCCCGGAAGGAGACGCTGCCGGCGATCACTGCACTGCAGGAGGTCTCTCGCTCTGCGTATTTGGGCGGTTCCACACATTAGGCTTGAGCGAGTCGACGCGAGTACCATGTGTCCCTGAACCGGATAGAGGCTTGTATATTAGCATATACATATCCATATATCATATATCTATATGGCATGTGCAGGTGTGTATATCTATACATAGAGGGTGCAGGTTTTCCTCAAATATCGGTTCCCTTTTCGTCCTGCGACTCCGGATGATACCATTTTGGAGAAGATAAATGGGACATACAGCGATCCCTCATTTTTTTCGAACCTCCCATTTTCTCGAGTAAGCATAGCAGACCACGTGGATGTTGACAAAATGCGCGACCCTCAGCATATGCGGGGAGTACAACAGAATTACGGTGCATACAGTTTGGGGCTGCGTGGTTGAGGGTTCAGGGCGCACGCCTTGTGTCAATTGGTTTCCAGAACCTCGGGCTCAGATATTAGGGCTTGCAGTTTTTGCTTTTGTTGGCTCAGTTTGGTGACGATGCGTTGTTTCTTGCAAGGCTTATATGCGCAGCGTAAGCGGGTCAAACATACGAGAATATGGGTCTCGAATGACATGCTTTAGTCTAAGGTGCTATCGGAGAAGAGAACTGCTCACTGCTTGTAGCAGCACTTCGACAAGCAGTAGTCGAGTGATGGAAGAAGAAGCGGTGGAGTTGTTCGGCGGCGGCAGCTGCTGGTGGTGGTACCGCTGCTGGTGCTGCCCCTGCTGGTGCTGCTCCTGCTGGTGCTGCTAGTGCTAGTGCTGCTGGTTGCGCTGGTGGTTCTCGTGCCGCTGTTGGTGCCGCTGCGGCTGCTGGGGGTGCTGTTGCCGGTGCGTGGTCGTAGTCCTGGTGGTGTGGGGGTGGTGGTGGCGGCGATCATGATACTGCAGCATTGTTTGTCCCATGCATGATCCTCTAAGGCTACGCTGGCTATCCAGTCCCTGCCTGGCAGCACCCCGCCAGAGAAAACGAAGCAAGCAATGGGAAGCATCGGAGGCGCGCCGTGCAGTTAATCGGTGTACGGTTTAGGGATCCAGTGCTCCTCGAGGTTTTACGGGCGAGAGTTCAGGATTCTAACTTGAGGGTTTTAAGTCGCGCAGGACCTAGGCCCAAACCAAGAAAGCGGCCCCCCAAAGAAGAGTGCAGCAGTCTTGGCACAGCAACTACCCCGCCACACAAAAAGTGACCTCTGATTTCCTTAGCAGCTGACACCCCTAACACTGACGGAAGTCGAAGCCTAAGCCTTAGCTTTTCATGCTAGGATCCCGCATGACCCCAAGTATCTTGCATTCGGGGTACCATGGTATACTGAAGTCATGCAGATTTTTAGCATTAACAGAAACCATTTTGTGCAAGGCTCCACGTTTAAGCCCGGGGGTGGAAGTGACACGACAAGCTTCCAGCCCAGTGCAAAGCAGGCAGGGCGGGCCCGGGGTTGACACACGGCTTGGGGTTTAGGGTGACCCATGGATCCTCTTTAAAGGGCTTTACAGGGACTGGATGGTGGATATATACTGTAGGAAATGAAAATGCGGGGTTGTATAAGGTGGAGGTTTCATCCAAACCAGAAACAAACTTGGGACCATGTTTCGTGTGCTTCTTTGAATGAACACTACTATTGGTGAGACTTCATTTTGCTTTGGGGCCATGGGCAGGCGTTTATCAAAGGGTATTGGGAGCTTCACAGAAATCGTAGGCATTCTATGAAGATAGAGCTTCTTCCATGCTTCTAGACTAGGACTTTGTAGCAGGCTTATTTACTTGACTTGAAGCCTGCACAGGGTTCAGAGTTTCGGTTGACCCCTAGGATCTTTCAGATATCTATTGTCTAGAGTTTGGAGATGCCCTCGGCAGCATGCCAGGGTGCTTGATATGTCCTTTCGTCTGGGAATTCCGTGGCGCCATTGAGAGGGGATGGCATCTTCTTCTATTTGGAGAGGTACGATGATCAGTGGCTATTATGGAGGTTTCAAGTCATTTGCCCCTTTGCAGGGGGTCCCTAAGATCCTTTGTTGCTTATAGAATTCAAATAGTTTGGCCTTGCAGGTGTTGGCGCAGTGCAGCATAAGTGTGCGGCAGCTGCATGCTGAAGTTCGCAAGCTCAGAGCGACCCAGATTGCAACGACGCTGGTCGGAAACCTTTGATTAAGCCCTATGGCCCTATGAACCCCAAAGCCTTCAAGAATGGTGATTACTGACGTTTACATCGCGATGGAAGCAAAAGGGTTCGGGGGCCGAATTCCCAATTAGGACGAATACGAGCAGACAGCGCCGGATTCGACCGCAAATTGGGGGGCGGGCACCAGAATCCTAAACCCTAAGCCCTAAACCTTGAATCCTGATCGACCCAAACCCTTTTCCTTTGTGGCCCTTCCAAGTTCCCTATGACCGGGAAGTGGCCAAGAGCATCTTTGGTTTACTGTTGCGGAGGAAGCCTAAACATTCAACCCTAAACCCTATATCCCTTAAATGCAAGGAAAGAGTGGGTGAAAGACTTGCACGACGCGTTTGACCAACACCTGCACATTGGCCAACAGCTTCTGGCTGCAGGCTTCTACCGACGCCAGGTGTGGTGCTTCAAACGCGGTTTGGGGTTAAGGTTTTAGAGTTTACGGGAAGGTTTAAGGGTTTTGAGGGATTTTGGGTTGAGGGATTTTGGGTTAAGGGTTGAGAGCTAAGGTTTATTTGCACAAGGCTCAGGGCTTAAGGACTTAGAATGGGGGGCTGAAGGTGAAAAACAGCAATAGCATACCTATTATTTGCTTAAGAACCTTAAAGAAATACAAAACAATAATCCCTATATTACCCTTATAAGGAAGAACCTTTTTCGTGTTTCTTAAGCAAACAATAGATACTATTCGTGGAGGCCATCTTGCGCCCCCTGGGGTATTTACAATATATTATAGTGACAGATGTTGTGCGCATACATGTACAAAGTATGGCTGTTTCCATAGGAAGGGGACCCCAAGATAAAACCTGAAATACCGAAATCCTTACTTCAGGCATTTTTCAAACAAGGGACCTCTAATTTCCACTATCTCCCTTATACATGTACACGCATAAGTACATTAGTACACAAGGTGATGCAATGAAATCCTTCTTCCACAGAGGGGTTAGATGCTTTAGCACCATTTCGGCCATCATCACTTGGAGGTTCATGGAACGCTGTCATGACTTATAGCAGGGGGATAACCAAGGTTATGACTGCGGGTAAGCCTAAAAACGCCATTAGGGGGGACATTCTCAGCCCTGTTGTGAAACTCCAACATCCCAATTACTGCGCAAAACCCTAAACCCTAAACCCTGAACCCTAAACCCCAAACCCCAAACCCCAAAACCCCAGCGCAAATCCCAGGTGGCGGAGTGCTTAGACTTTCTGGAGCTGATGTTCCCACTAGTGGAGGCCAGGCCCAAGTATCCAGGTTTCGGATGCGCGCTTTCGACTTTGAAGTGCCGAGCCGGAGTCTCAAATCCATGGAACCTTGGGGTTTAGGGTTTAGAGTT